GGTGTCAGAGTTGGATTATTGATGCCCTTCGGCAGTGGCACACCGTTCGCACAGTGATCAAGAGGGGATTACCAACTGAATTGCCTGCGGGATAAAGCAGTTGTACGCAATTATGGCTGCACTGTACTGATGATTCCTAAGAAGGGTGCAACTTTAGTGCAGTTCTCTCATTCGTCTGCTGCTGTCTAAAATCAAATGGTCACAACTTTGAGTGCGTTGAGTTGGTGGTCTAGCAAAAGGTTGTGTGCATTTATACACGCAGTATGGTTATGTCACGTGACATGCAAGGCACGATGGGAGGACGGATCATATGGTCACAATTGTGCATTCTAGATTTAAAGCTTTCGTGACTGCAAGGATCCATACTCTTTGGTTCTATTCGGTAAAGTCACGTAGGTAAATAATAAAACAACAATAATCACGACGTTTCGTCGACAGGCTCGTCCCTTCACCTGATGAAGGCCGCTTGTGTTGTGGCCGAAACGTCGTGATTTTTGTTGTTTTATTATTTACCTACGTGACTTTACCGAATAGAACCAAAGAGTACACAATTGTGCATCTTGCTCTATCGTTTTTGTTGGAGTTGAGAACTGGCCCCTGTTCGTTTGCATGCGCAAACACCTTCACTGCTTTGCACGGCGTTTGTACGAATAGCTCGTGAAACGAAAACACGGTCGTGGATTGTGAAAAAGACAGATTTGGCATGCGTTACCAATCGAGGAATTTGAGGCCAATGACAAGTTCACTTCTTGTGACATTGCCTGTGTCCACTCAGCGGAAGCAGTATGTGTCACAATGCAATGCGTCAATTACAGCGGTGGCTCTTAACATTTTGTGGACAGACTTGCCCTTTACGGCCACTCATAAAAAAATGTGTTCGTGTTTTCAATGGCCAAAAAGTGAGAAGCAATCTACGGATGTAAACAAGTCAGTAATGGGACACGGTCAGTGTTTGACCACGACTGCAGGTTAAAGTAGGTCCATTGGTAGCCCTCCATGCAGGAATTTGGTCTCAACTGAATCTGGTGAGGAACTCAAAGTGTTTAGACTTTAGAGTGACTCATGTAAAATGGTTTCTCGTAAAAATATATATATTTAAGACACTACATCTAGTACATTGTAATGTTTACTGTTGTGTGAATGTTTTTGTTAATTAAAAAACAGTTTTCCAAAGGAAGGTTAAGCAATAAAATAATATACAGGCAATTATAAATCTCCTGCTGGATGAAGGCTTCGCAATTATATCAAAGGGGTTGTTTGACCATACTTCACCACACTTGTCAGTGTGAATTGGTGAAGTGGCACGCCCTGGCACTGGTTAAGATATTTACATTCAACACTGATATTAGCTATGACTGGGAGTCAAAACTCTGGTCACCGAACTCATAGAAGAGTGCGATAACCACTGCATTCATAGCCTTGTGCACTTACCACTGCACCACCACTCCACTCAAAAGGAAGGTTGTAATGACCTACATAAATACATGTTATATTTTGTAAATTTTCTTTCTGCATTTGGCCAACTATCTGACCGAGTGGCGCTGTGTCAATGTACCCATACAACTTGGACTCTTGCGAGGCTCAATGCCAATCAGGGGTTAACTCAGTTCAGAATCAGAGAATCGGAATCTTTATTTAAACTGCATGAGGTATCCGATGAGCAAATAAAAAAACCTCTTTTCCACAGATGTCCAGTCGGGGCGGGTGAGAAATTAACTCCATCTGTCCTCCAGGGTTGATAAAATGAGCACCATTTCATAAAAAAATCTCAAGCGATTGTCCTGTGGATGCCACCTAGGACATTTCCACCACTGGATCGAGGCAGCCAATGGAGAAAGATCACCGGCTAACACTCCGCTGAACGTGGGCAGGCGTTCACTTGTTACCCAGTCTCCTTCACAACAGACACTCTTGTCCCAGTGGGCTATTACTTTGTTACGAATAAAGTTAAATGTACTCATTTTATTTTGTTCTGTTTGCTAAATTCACAAGGCTAAGTGCTCGCGTGAGTTAAGGCCTGTCGTGACTCACTGTCTTCTTGTTGGGGGGGGGGGGGGGTGCCTTGATGTTGTGACTTTCTGTGGGTTGTTGTGACTATTTCTGTGGGTTACACCGAGTGGCTGCCAAGAGCTGGGAACATGATTTATCTCATGATCTATCGATATAATTGAAACCTCGCCGTAGAGGAGGCACTAGACGCGCAGCTGTACGAGCACTGTCGTGTTTATCCAGAACTAAAATTATGCAAAAATGTTTCTTTAAAAGTTTAATATTGAACAATTTCTCAACAATACAGTTATAAGACACGGTAATCATACCTAATGCAAATACATTGCCTATGGGATATTCTTAGAAAATCCAGCAAATAATTGGATAATGAGGGAATGTCCATGTTTTGAAGGTCATTTCTGGAACGGTGTCTTGGGAAAGACAGATGTGCTATAAATCTATTTGTCAAGTTAATGTAGAATGCAGGATTTTTCACTGCAACTGACCTTTATATTTTATGTTCACATCTACCGTGAAATATGCTATGTTTAGAAATATATAGTATCTAATGTGAGTAAGTGGCTGAGTGACCGATGTAAATTGTAATGTTCTACAAGGGCTTGAGAGCTGGAACTTCTTCCATTATATACTCAAAACCCATGCCTATGAAAGTTGGCATTCAGAGATTTTTGAAGAGTGCAGGATTCAAATATTTTAAATTACTCAATGTTTTGCAGGTGCTGTATATAAGAGCTGATAGCAGAAAGTCAACAATCGGGTTGCTAGCATCACGGGCACTTTGCCCCAACGGTCTACAAAGGCATTTTGGGAAATTGTTGTCCTGTTTCTGTGTTGTAGTAAAAGTAAGCACGTACAACTCCATTTATAAATAACATATTTACATTGTTTAATGGTTGTAGTTTCGTGTGCACTTCACCCACGTCACAATTCTACAATTCGAACACAACAGACATAAAACAGATGGGGTAAGTAAAACCAAACAAATGCTATTAAGCCATTGGACACAACACAGAGAGCAATTTAGAAGAAAACATAAAATGAGATTTAATGCGATTAAATGAAGGTGCCTAGAGCAGTTAAAGAGACGCAGAGGACATTCTCCCTCGAATATATAAATGGCAATCTATTATTTAAATGTTTAAATGAAAATCTATTAAAACTCGGCAGGTCCCCTTGCTAAGAACTCTGCTGGAAATGAGGGAAGACAATGGGCATGGTGAAGTCGTAGGCTTACGTCGAGTTTAATTAACGCGCGCTGATTTAAACCCGAATGGAACACTGCAGAATCACGCTGCTCCACACTGTGCAGAGCATCGGCACAATTGGCCGTCTCTTATCCATTGGCCAAAGCTGAACTTGAAGTGATTCCCATTGCGATCTCAGTCTAACAGAGCAGCTTTATGCACCCGAGCCTATGTGTACATTAGTCTGGAATTTAAATAAGTAATATAAAAAAAACTGTTTTTAAAACACGCTTTAATGAAATGTACCGTACTAGTAAAGGAAGAATTCCACGACTCCAGGAAGTGGCCCCGAAGCTTGCCATAACGTATGGGGCCCTGGTGATTTACAGCCAACGTGAGTTGAGCGTGCACAATGAGACCCAAGCAGAAACATAACATTTAAAAAAGAATGTTTAAAAATATATATTTATTTTTAAAGATAGAATATAGTGTCGTCATCAGTATGACATCAGTATACCAAGTTTGCAGTCGATACCACATTGGGAAGTGGGTAAAAATTTAGTTGCAAGATTTGAGGATACAACAACAGACAGAGTGAGTTAATAAAAAGCGTGTAAAAAAGCAGTACAAACAAAAACATCAAAACCTTTATCAACGTAGTATATTGCGTAGCAATTAAAGGCAAGTTTGTAATACTGTCATCTGTACAATATCTATAACTTATGGTGGACATCCTTCCAATTATCATGGCTGCTATTATAATGTTACACTGTCATGTAGTGCCATCAGAGTAGAATTGGCCTATATCCATAAGTGCGTATGAAACTTCTACACTCACACGCTAAACATTATCTACCTCCCGGGACACAGTTCTACAAGTTCACGTTTGTATGTACTACATATATCGCTTTAATTCAAATCGAGTTATATTGTTTAGAGAGTGGTTTTCTGTTCAATTCCTGCTCAAATTTAAAATATCCACGTATCAATCGTCTCAAATTCCCATGGTGTTGCCAAGGTACCATATGGCAAAGTGGAGCCTCGGACGATGGCGGTCAATATAGCTGCCTTCCCTGCTCAGACAAAACAGATATCTGAAATGTTAACCTACTCAAGACAGGTAAGTTTCTTATCTAAGGCAAAATAGGCATTGGTTTCAGATTGTGCTGCTCTAGCGGTTAACACCCCCCACCCCCCCTCTATGTCAGATGCAAATATCAACAAAGAGTGGTTAGTCAGCCCATTTCACAGGTACAGGACGTGATGTCAGCAGGTTACATTTTAAAAGCGTTTAAAAGCACTTGTGTAAAGTATTGTGCTGCACATGTTAGTACTGTAATATAAACACGTTAATAGCTAACCAGTTTCAGGGTTTTCCACAAGTACTGTAGGTACAAACTGAACATTTTCCGTTCACAGTGGACCTTACGTATACGGCAGTTTACAAAACGTTTTTAGGGCACGTGGGTAGTCAAGATCACGGACACTGCTTTGTGTTGTGAAGCTGATGAAACCTTTTGTCGTGTCCCCAACGACACTAGTTGTCTCAACTGTATGCAAAACAACCCCTGCATGATGAATAGGTTTTGTTTACAAGGCCCGTTTAGGACAATGTGAGATTAATATACTGTTAAGTCGTTGCCTGTCCTAAGGGCTGCATAATTTATTAATGTGGGGGGGTACAGCTGGTGCATCTGCCGGTCATCTCGGTCAACCAACGCATGGCACCTGGGTCTGTTCCGAGACCGCGTGTCAGCGAGCCTTCAACACTTCACGTGGCCTCAAAGTGCACCTGGCCTGGCACAGGCGCTGTGGTGACGTCACCGTCACTTAGTGGCGACTGGCGGGTGTGTGTTTGTTGTGGTAATGGGTTCATACCGCCCGTTAAGCAGATAATCTGCATATAGAACTGGTTGAAGGTAACTACTTAAATGAAGTTATATCATTGTCGCGGCCTGGTCAACAATGACCGCACGTCATTTCTAGTCTTGATCATTCATTTGAACCTTTTTCTTCATCGGCTGATAGCGCTCTCTATAAGGTACCGTCCCCAACATAGATCAAGAAGCCCATTGAAGTGAGCTCAAACGTAGTTCTGCGACGTCATCTTCCATTGCCGCTTTCTGCAGGGTGATGCACCGCTAGCTGCTAGGCTTCTGAATAGAGCTCTTCTTATCTCGAGACAAGATGCTGATAGCACATTTTGTACTTACTTTTTAAAATGCGGTGGAGACCGTGAGCGTGCTATTGAATGATCACTACACTGCATTTATTTCAAAGTACATGCCTTTTGCCTACCTCTTACAGAAGACAAAACTGGTTACAAAAATGTTCACGACTGATAATATCTCCTGTACAAAATTACGCAGTTTCATTGATACAAATTTACAATTATAATTTCCTGCTACGATTCGATTGTCCCCTGGCCCGATTCTTGCGACCGGTTATTGGGGATGTCTTCATCCTTAGGCTGCTCTTGTGCGGCAGCGAGATCTTCCGTCTGGTAGACCAACGTGCTGGGATGGCTGATGGCCTCCTCGTAGGAGGGCGGTGGCACTTGAAGGGCAGCCTCTGTCCACGTAACGTTCACAGCGTGGTACGGCATCAGCCCAGGTGTGCTGACTATTCCACTGGGGGGAGTGAAGGAACCGAGAAGGCATTGAGAATGTTAAACCTTTGAATGCATTCTTGATGCAAAAAAAAGCCCCATTTTGTAATGCGTGACCTGTTCAGACCCGGGTAGGTTGCAACCTCCAAAAAGTAAAACTGAGACATCGTGGGAAGCAGACTTATATCACAATACCAGAAGATGGGAGAACGGCGTGTAAATGTTACCGCCTTATGTGTTGTATTATAAAGCACCTGACCAAAAAAAGAAAACAGGACGAATTATTGTTCTGGAAAGAAGTATAGATTTCCGAGGACAACTACATCCACAAGAGGACAATCCTTGGAAAACAAGGACAGACGCAGTATATCCTTGCGCTGTGAGACAAGGGCAGGATTGTAACAGGAACCTTATAAATCTAACCAAATGCTAAGCAGTCAGAATGTATTGAATGCGAATCACATCATGTGAAAAAGCTGTTAACCTGACTTTGGCCTAAAATTATCAACAAATACCGTGGAGCTTTACATATAATTTCGGAGCAAATTTAGACCTAACGCCCTTTGTCAGTAAATGTACGTAAACAAATGTAAATGCATCTCAAACCCGTTAAATGAAAAAGACAATGTATTTGTGAGCAGAGCAGTGGCATAGTAGTTGGCATGACCACCATCCTAAGTTCAATGCCTAGCCATGTTGAGTAACGTCTGAACTATTATTATTAAGAATGGTTAGGGGATGCCTTGAATCCAGCAGTGGATTTTATAAATGTGTTGCTGTAATTATGAATACCTACTGTATTAAGTTAGCTTACGGCATAGCGTCTATTTGCTATATTTTCCACCCACCGAAGAAATAAAAACAACTGTGGGTTCGGCTGAGAGGATTGCCTGCAGTGTTATACGCGAACGCACTTTCACCTGTTTACAAAGGGAGCCTTCAATTCATGGCCTTTGGCTAGCATCTGCGTTGAACGATTTATGAACTGGTCTTGGGTCCCCCTTGACCAACAACACACTGACCAGCATGGAGAAGTATGCTTACAAACACCCATTTGACAAGCCAATTGTTTAACTTTTTTTGTTTTCAAACGATGAGTGGCCATTCGCAGAAGCCCGCTTTATACGTTACCGTCACTGACATAAAAAAAAGTGTGAAGCGTTATATCTTGCACACGTGCTCATTATAGCAAGTGTCTGCTGTGGCCATGTTTGTGCTGATGATGACACAGGTCCTCGTTCGTGGGTACAGACAATAGACGGCACAGATAGGGTCCAGCGCACTCTTAATGTGCCGTGAAAGCGAGGCACTCGATTCTAGGTGTGCGTTCGAGGTGCCCACGAGGCATGTCACGTGATTTATAACTGAAGGTGGTTTGCACGCTCACGTACGATGCGCCAAATGGTGCATGTTAAATTAATTATTAGTATGAAAGTCATAAACTCATGTGCAATTGTACATTTATGCAAAATGAAACGATGAATACTGAAGAAATGGAACTGACGATGCAATTGATGATACAAATCAGCAGCAGTAATCTTATCTAGAACCGAATCGTGGCAATTCAAAGGATCTACGTCATGGGACCTCCTTTTCAAGTACCCAAATATGATTATAGCGTTGTTTTCTCATTACTCTGATAGTGGCATTGTCTTTGGGCTGTACGCCTTTTGGCGTCCTCTGGCCTAACACCGTTTGAGACGAGGCTCAAAAGAAAGCTGTCTCTGGTGTGGACCAATCACTTTCAAGGACAATTAATATATTATCAGAGTATGTTTTTTGTTTGCATTCTGACCACAAGCATTGTGGTTAATGCAAGACATTATTCCTTGTAAAAGGTTTCAGTTTGGTGTTTTAACATCTTAACACCTGTTTTGTTGCCAGCAAAAAGTGGGAAAAACCTATAATCAATTAAAATGATGTCTGGGGAGGCTGGTGAGTGAAGATGTGCGTTCCGTGTGCCGGTGAGAACAGGAGAGACACAAACGTGGCTTACCTATGGCTAGCCGCTCCATTGTATAGTGGAGGTGGAAGATAGGCAGGCCCTGTAAAGTGGTGCCTGTCATCATCTGTGCCTGGCAGGGCAGCGGAATTGTCATAGGCGTAGGCAGCGTACGCGGGCGGTGGCAGTGTGCTCCTTGCGTAGGGGCTGACGGTGTACACGGTGGACTCCCCTTGCCTCTCGTCTTGGTTGACCTGCACACACCTTTGCGGGAGGGAGGTTCGTTCGTTCATCATTCATTCATAACTCTAGAGTGTTTGCACAGAAGCCCTCTTGGAGAAGTAGCTGCATAGAAGCGGGGGCATTAAAATCGCACACATCCGCGGGAGAGGAATTATTTAATGGCTGATCGTGTCCATGGGCCAAGCACACACCATGGACCTAATCATAAGGACAGAAAATATATTGTGGGTGGGTTATTTGGAGGATAGTGAGGGGAAGGTGACAAGGTGCAGACAGACATGAATTCATGTTCACAAAATGTACAGGGCAGGTTGAGGAAACGTGAATTGAATCATACTTATTTGGATGCATAGATGTCGTTCTTACAGTGAAAAATCTATACATTAAATTAGCATTAAATTAGCATTAATGACACATTAATTGATAAGTTACGATGGCCATTGTTTTTGTTTGTATGGAATACGCTACTCATGTCACACAATGCAATACCACCCCCATATTTGGTATTTCGGAAGTGATCTAATATGCATTGTCAGATGCAGGGCTTAATAATGATTTACCACATCTCTGTCCACTGAGATTTGGTTGAGTCACTGTTCGATGAATTTCATTGATTCACTGTGTTGCTTGTCACAGTGATCCACACGCTCGATATCGTTTGCTGTCTGTCATTCATTCTATGAGCCGAAAAGTAACATTTGAATATACTGTACAGTAGAATCCCGCTGTCTGTGGTGATTCTTCTTCTTCTTCTGTAATATGGTTTTCTGCACAATAGCAGACTTGCTGTAGAGGAGCAGCAGTAGTAAGTTGTCAACTTTAAAAATATATAAATGTAATTATAATGACAGGAGGAAGAAAGTCTGTGGCGATGTGGAGGATGAAAATTTTCCGAGGATCCTTATAATCTCACCTACCCTGCTTACTAGGTTCAGGAATTCAAAACATTCGAATGTCCATTTGATCCAGTAATTTCTTGAGAGCTGCTCTAATCCTATATAAATGATAATTGTGACCAGGATCGCATGATTGAGTGGAGTATGCTAACTCTGGGTTTGTTGACCTCACGAAAACAGAGCTACCCATGATGCCATGTGCCAGCAACAATTTCTAGTATTACTCTTAATACAAATTAGTTTTTTAAATACTTATTGCAGGGTGAACTGTTACTCAATAGCTATTAAGAGGGAACTATTTACCGGCCAGCTTAAACACTGATCATGAGGAAATATGTTTGTATCGTCATTCTTATAAGGCCCCATGGTATACAGTGTCGTCTCCAACTCCACTCTATATATCTGGGCTATGTTCCCTGAAAAAGGGTCATTGCCCAAAACGTCACCTCGTACATATGTTTCATTGAGTTTTATATTATCGGTGGGTTTAAATGTATACAGCGCGAAATGTTTGGATAGTCGCAGATAATAGGAAGAATAGGAAAACAATAACAGTTTTTTTTCAAAGAACCTAAAGGTCCTATAGGTAATAGGTTTGCGGGTAATAGGGCTACAAATAAGAGGAGTTCTATCAATTCCACGAATTATAAATCATAGATGTTTTTTTTTTACTCGCAAAATGTCATGCCTGTGCCATGACGGCGAGAATTAATGTCATTCATTAAATGGTTACACGCCAAAGTGATGAGATACACATCACAGAGTGAGCACATAGATTCCAAAAAATCCAAGGGATGAGCGAGGAGGCACGTGGAAATGAACATGTTTTGCAGCGTCAGTTCTTGTGGAATATTTGCACAATAAAGCACGGGAACAAGCGTGCAGAGATGAACAAACGGAGTTGGAACGATGGATTGGGAGGTGCACAGCAATCGTCAGAAATGTTGTTGGCCAGCACCGTTCGTAACACTGGTATGAATTGAGTTCATTCAGCAGTGAATGTTAAACTGCTGAATGAACTCGAAAAGGAATACAAAATAAAAAAACTCGCAAAACACATCGACTATTCTAACACAATTACACAGCATTCGTGTAACAACGTTAATTGTGTAGCTTGATACGAACTAAATAGTAGGTTAATATTATTGGGGCAGATGCTGTTAGCGGGTGCTTATTTGAGGAGGGCCTGGCTTATAGTCGCTAGGATAACCCTTTTAACAAATGCACCATAACTCTCCACAACGAATTAAATATCCTCCAATTAACCCGAAAAGTGTTGTTAGTGAGCACCTATTAGCCGTAATAGGTTGTTTTTTTTAGGTTAGATTACGTAAATATAAATGCGCCGTTAAATCCACCATCACCGGACAGCCAATTGCATGTAGTAAGGTTCGAGTAAACCCACAACACTTACAATTCGAGTACAATTCGAGTACTCGAATTGTAAATGTTGTGGGCGGGTTTAACGACACATTTTTATTTGCGCGAACTAACCCAAAAACCTCTACTAAGGATAATATTTGTCGCGAAAGCCTTTGTGTTAATGCACCTATTAGGTCTGCATGGCACACAGGGGATTGGTATGGCCAGAACCATGCATACCAGGCCACCTTTGTTATGCCAAGTTGAATCCACCATATTAAGTACTCATTTTAGGCCGATGCAATCCAATGAATGTCATATCCCAACTTAAACAAATGTAAATGAATCGTACCACAGCATGGTGTGCTGCCCACTAGACCACTACTAAAAAGGCATATGCTTTACTAAATTATATGTGTAACTTCCTCGAAAATGTTCCGCCATTGCCGACTGGCTTGGGCTGGACAGCTGTGAAAAAGAGCTTCACAGCCCATCGGGTTTTCCCCGGCTTAAATGAAATGTCTATGTTGTAGGGAAAAAAAACGTGCAGAGACACTCACCTGTAGTGGTACATCCTCCAGGCTCCCAGGAAAGCGCACATCAGCCCAATGGCTATCAGAGCAACTCCTATCCCTGTTGACCAGGTAAACCATCTAATAAGGGTGATTATGAGCCCTGAAATCGTGAGAAAGAGTCCAAGCAATAGCACAGACAGACTGGCCTTGCCATTTTCCCTTCTCGCTTCATTGGTATTTGTCAGCATTGCTTCAGATCGAAAGCTCCTCTCTCTGTGTAAGACAGGTAACCCAACACCCGGGTGTCTACTATATGTAAGGCTGCACGCTCGAATGGCTTACTAAGTTGTATGAGAACGCAGCATTACGAGGACAAACTGACTAGCACTGGCGACCGGGTTGACCAAATGAAGTCTGAGTACTGTCAAAGGGATGGTTATAGAGTCATGGCGATGCAGCAACACTCCCCGTGGCCTAAGCCAATTGTAAACAACACTTATCCACCCCCAACGAACACAGTTACAGTGATAACACCGTCGGTGTGCGTGTAAACATGGGTTCAAAGTATGCAGGTGGCAATGATGGCATAGTTTTACTGTTCACGTGTATTCATTTTACGCGCACGCCGCTCAACTGAATACTTAGTCTGGCAAGGCGGTTGCATTTCATTTTAAATGTGTGCACAGTTGCAACAGGTCTCAACTTATTTGCACGCATACTGATCATGGTGTTCCGGCACAAGTGTAATTAATGTGATAGTTACGTTAGCAGTACAGTACTTTAATTGTTTAAAAGGGGTAGTTCTACTTAGGGAGTCGTGGATGTCTTTCGACATAATTATGGCTCAGCGTGTTTTTAGTATCTGTCCCACTCTTCCAAGCCGATCAACAATTGAAGTGAAACCCAAAACCTCCTACTGGGGACACAGAGGCAGGGAGGATTCAAGGAACCTGTTGCTTACTCTTTGGTTCTATTCGGTAAAGTCACGTAGGTATATAGGTATACCTACTTGACTTTACCGAATAGAACCAAAGAGTATGGATCCTTGCAGTCACGAAAGCTTCAAATCTAGAACCTGTTGCTGCCCATTCTTTCCCCTGCCGCAGTGCCGGGAGAAGTAAATCTAACAGGCGAGCGACGGTTTGCATTCTCCGACCAAAATCTCCGTGATTTAAAAATGGTGATTTCATTTTAACTTGAAATTATATTGGAACGTGTTGATGTGTCAATGTTGTTGCTGGTGGCAATGTAGTTGGCTGTTATTTCTCGGAATATTTAAACCCCATATTTAGCGCACTGAACTCGTGGGGATAATAACGGCGGCGCTCGCCTGGAAAGGCTCAGTGACTGTTTCATCCCCCCACCCCAATCCCTGAGGCTGATACATTTTGTGTTCCATTTTGTGGTGAGTCAACAGTTGATTGTCATAGGATTGTAGAATTTCCCCAAAAAAATTTGGTTCAGGGTAAGGACAATATGTGAATCCTGCCCCAATGCTCATGTTGGCAGGAAACCGAAAACTTATTTTTTTTTGCTGTTGGTGTGACTCAGTCGTGAAGTCTGCGGTAACATGAAGGTGAATGGGGCCTTATCACGTCATTCTCTACAGTGGGCTCTAGCGCAGTGTGATCAGAGGTAAAACGCAGGTAGAGGCCAACTTCATATTTGCGGAATATTCTTATGGCCCATTTTACCACGACTTTTATTACCACTGCACCATGCTTTATGATGTGACGTCATGCATGTGTTTTGATGCAACATTTGAAGCGAAGGAAATGAGTAACTCATGATGTAATTATAAAAAAACCACATCACAGTGGATCCGGTCACCATTATGGCTTTTAAGAAAGAAAAGCAGTAGTATAGTAATGGTATAGACATCTGCTCTTTTTCGAAGCACTGAAAGTACATTTAAAACATAACAAACGTCTTTGCCTTAATTCTAATGGCATTGAATGGCATTGAATGACATTGAATGCTACAGCTATTGTCAAACAAGCCTCTAGCCATCCTAATATCGAGACTGGCCATACGTACGTCGGGTTCTCTATTTCAATCGCGTGTTGACTCTACTCCGTGAACTTTGCCCAATTGTAAAGGTAAGAGTTGTACAGCAAAGAAATTACATTTGGACAGTGTTACATGTAAATGCATTCCATTTGTACCTTTCGCTCAAATTGTCAATCTTCAAGACGTGTGTACCTTTAATTAAATGAAACTGTGCCATACGAATGTTGCGGCAATTTCCTGTTCAGGAAGTTTGCTCAATTGGTTCCATGACTAAATTATTAGGCATACAGTATTTGCTCTTTGGTTAGGTATCACTCATAGGTGTTTTTAGATTTATGCTACATATTCAAGGGATTTATTATTCAAGGAATAATGTGGATTATTTTCAACGATGTAGCTGTAAAGCAGAGCAGCCGTGAGCCCATTATCCTTCTATTTAAAATAAGTACAAGTTTGTGGATAGTAAATCATAGTTTCCCTATGGATACACTGGTCCTTGCTCTGACAAATACAGAATTCCTAGCATTGGCTTTGGATCACCATTGGAGATGGTGACATTGTGACTTTACTAGCCTTGAGACTCAATCACCTGGCACTATTTTATTTACTTGCGGATGAAGTATTCTGAATAAAACATACATAATTACTTGCGATTGATATTCTCAATACTGACTTATATTATGAATTATCACGAGCTGTTTTGGTACAACAATACGCGTACTTGCTTTAAAAAAAATAACAATTAGGTATTGTATATAGAGACAAATTCGTTTCGTATGTTTGGGCTGTCACAAACAGTGACCTCACATGAGGCCACATCTCAGCTAGCGTTTATCTCTTTTTTATTACTGCACGATTCAAATCCTTGGTTTTTACTGCTTGAAAAATAAAATAGTACAACTCGCATAACAGGGCTTGTCCATTTCATTGCAGTGGCTTTCCCACTGTCTCACTCTGCCATGACGTGATCATTGACGGATGCTTCCTTTGCTTGAAGCGTTAGTCTTGTGTTCTGCCCCAAAGCCTCCAAACCAAAAAAATATACATTCCTGCAAACTTTGCGCAGTGTAGCAGGCAGTGTAATCAGTTATGTAGCCAGAGTGTGTGAACAGTGGGGAAGAGTTGAGTCCAGCGAGTGCGAATCGCAAAAGGGAGGCCCGACTTTCATCATACTGGCGCCCGTCTCTAACCAGAGCGATTTAAATTCAGCACCGCGCCCACGAAAGCACACATTACATTTGAATAATTTCATGGAAGACGATTTCATTCAGCCTTAATAATATTTATATTGCAATTTCCATTGATGTGCTAAAGTCGTGCATTGGATAGTAAAAGGTGAAATGCCCTTGCATTGCTATTGCCTTTGCAACAAACTTGCAGCAGAGATAGTAAGGGGTGATATTTGGTGGTCTGATGCTGTGAGATTTTGGGAACTTAGCAGCTTGCAAGCCAGTCACTACATAGTACACTGATGCATGCTGCATGCTATATGCTTTCTTTGTGTATGTAGAACTCGTTCAATTGACGAAAGTTTTCGTGCTGCTCACAAGCCAGTGGTGTTGTGGTTTTAGTGCTCACCTCACAATCAGGATTTGAGATAAATTCCTGGTCAGGTGTTAACTGTGCCCAGCATCCCCCTACAGTTGATAAAAGGAGTACCACTTTGTGGAAAGTCAAGAGTGGTTATCCCATGGATAGTCTGGCCCCACCATGGCTATTTGGAATTTCGTCACATGGCTTAGCACCACCCATGGAGAAGTGCCCCACACAATTTTCCCATGTTTACAAGAGAGACACTGGTTTTATTTAATTATATTTTTGACACTATTGCGGAGGAAATATGTTCCAAAAAGATGTTAAAAATGAGATCCTGTCAACTCTGGGGTTTTCTCGAATCTTAGACAAAAAGGTAAAAGGTCCATCAGAAGTTTCAAAATCACAATTAGACTCAGGAGCGTTTGAGTTAAACAGCTCCCACAGTGTTGCCTTATTTGCAGGAATGGACTGTGACCTTGCAGGTGCGTTGTTGGTTATCTACATATTTTTTACTTGTATATTGACAATAAACAGCACCAGATCATCTTATCATCCCTTTCATCGAATTTAACATTTCTCCAAGTTTACTTTAAAGAATTATAGGGCAGCACTGGATAACTTTAGCCATATTTAATTTTTGAAAATCTTGTTTCAATTTTCATGAGATCAATACAAGTAGGAAAATGGCTACACAGCTAAAAGTAGCTGTCAATAATTTTATAAATACTGTTGTTCGTTTTTTATGCATAAAACTCTCACATTGCCGATTGGTTATTGAGGTAGTCCATGACTGGAGATGGTTGGCTTAATGGTTTAAGTATATATTTTGAGTATGAGTATAAGGGCAAACCATGGAGATGACATTATAAATATACTTCCTCTAGGCATCTCATAGATCTTACAGGACTGGCAAGGTGGCACAGAGGTAACACTCCCTGTGTGGAGTGTGTATGTTCTCCCACCTACTCTGAATGGTTTCCTCCCATAGCCAAATAACACGCAATGTAATTGGTATTGACCAAACATCCCAATGATAACAAATTACTTGCAAATTTCTAGATTTGGATTACACGTAGCAACAATGCCCTCTCCTGTGAAGACTTGGCTGGACCACTGTGAAAATCAGTAAGACTTTTACTGACCAAATAAATCATTACAATGAGGCCTAGTGTCACAAACCCAAGGCTTATCCACCAACTTCACCTCCAGGTTTCTGGATTAAAGTCAAATTAAATCAAACAAGTCAAAGTCTCTTCCCACTGTATTCGACAATGAGCTGTGACACTGATCTCCATTGTCAGTCCTGAGCCAGTGTTGCAATTCCACATTCCCATGGTTGGGTTTAGTCTCCACAAAACCCCATTGTCGCAGACCTCGTTGTGAGAACACCTGACTTTCAATCTCGAGGTCAACAGTTTGATTTTCTGACATGGCAGTTGAAACTATCGTTGTTTTTTTTTCATTTTTACCAGGTAATGCCCACTGAGATATATATCTCTTTATCAGGGGCAAATTGGCCACAAATGATGGCTCAACGAAGTGGCTTATCACGTGGAAATGTATAGCAGCCAAATACTCTAAACAATGGGCAGGTTTCATACCCCCGACCTCCACGCTTCCGCACCTGATTACATCACAGTCAGGGGTAAAATGTGGGTACATGTCAGCTGTTCCGAGTTGTCTGACCAGTGTAGAAGAGTCGGCAAAGAGTCCCCTTGAGAGGGTCTCTCTAGAGCTCAGTCGAATGGATGCCCTCCCGCCATGAGAGCAAATCAAGTTTTCAAGTTTCAAGTTTCATTTATTAGGTATAGCCCTGTGCGCCATGCGGCTCTTAAGTCGGGTGCAACCGCAACAAACTAAATATGAACACAGAACATCCTAAAAGCGACGACGCACAACAGAAACATCCTGGAATAAACCCGCAAATATTCCACACAAAAAAAACGTATTAAAACGCTGTGTGCAAAAATCAATGTGGTGCAAGCCAACAACAACAATCATAAGACAATTGAGATTGACCATATGTTTTCGAATCACCAAAATAAAGCTATAAAAACAATGTAACAACAGTAATCATAGGAACTGTGATTTTAAATTTAACAATAAACAATATACATAACACGTACGACAAAACCTGCAGCCATAGCTGGCAGCACGACACTCCCAGTGTATGATGTGTGAGTGAGTCAGCAGCAGCATGAGTGAGTGTATGATGTGTAAGTCAGCGTATGATGATTGAGTCAGTATTAGGTTGAGTGAGTGTATGATGTGTGAGTGAGTCAGTGGTAGTGGGAGTGAGTGTATGCTGTGTGAGTCAGCGCACGATGTGTTAATCAGCGCATGATGAGTGAGTCAGTGTATGTGTGAGTGAGTCAGCGGCAGCGTGAGTGAGTGTATGATGTGTGA